AAGGGTGGGACCGAGATGCCAACCTAGTAGCACGCTTAAATTCATGCAGTTTGGGAACCAGCGAAAGTAGCTAGTCGGAGCAGTTGTCATGAAAGTACTTGTAGAAAAGACAGAGGGAAGCCACCGCGTGTCTGCGAGATAGGGACTGTAGACGGGTGCCAAATCAGGACCTATCACGTTGCATATCCGTCTCTAGATTTTGTCGAGGACCTCGAGATGAACCAGCGAGAGCACCAGACCATATATGGCAGCAGTATTTCATGCAATGGTTGATTTGTAGATTTGAAGAATGGACTCAGACGAGAAAAAACGTCTGGCGCGACACAGAGAACCAACTTTCCTTGCAGTAGATGAAGCTATAGATTGAATGTAGTTGTTCCACCTCAGGTCAGTGGACAGCGTGAGATCAAGTAGGCGCAGAGAAGCGCTCTCGTGAAGTTGGGCATCAGGCATCCTGACTGGAGACAGCAAGGGTTCTCTATGGTGCAAAATACTTCTACTATGTACCGTGTCCCTTCAGGATATGTGCGATCACGACTCTCCATCATGTCCCATCTTTTTCTGATGATATGTATAAGAGTACTTTTGTTTATATCTTCTCCAAATCCTCGCTGTTGGTCACCTGTTCAGCCCGTAGTATTCTGAGCACCCTTCTCTAGAACCACATTTCTTTTGCCTCAGTTCTCTTCTCCATCTGTGATGAGATTGACTAGCATTCACTGCTTGTATGCTAGTGAATGGCAATCCTAAATAGCAGGTTCGACTGAAGACATTTCTCCCTGGTCCAGTTCCCAATATCTGACCATTTTTTTAAAGCTTTTTACCCCAAGCAAGGCAAGGAGTGCCACTAGCAAGCAAGGGATTACAGAGAGTAGGATCAAGAGTAAAGAGGCGTGATAGAGGAGCGGATGAAGAGAAGGGCGAGGAATTAGATCAAGGCATCTGAAGATGTCGATTGTCATTACATTTGAATAGTTGGAGATTATAGCTATCAGGGAAGCAAGTAAGAGGAAAGGAGTTTCTCAGACGGGAAGGGCGAGACATGAAGCTATTGGAGTAGAGAGACGGTTTCTACAGTGAAAGGGTGGGGCTGAGATGCCAATCTAGTATCAGGTTTAAATTTCCAAACAGAATTTCTTTACTCTGTTCATTATCTGGCCGAGGACTTTTAGCATTTCGTATTTTTCAGATAGATAGATAGATAGATAGATAGATATGAATAGAATTAGATAGATAGATAGATAGATAGATAGATATGAATAGAATTAGATAGATATGAATAGAATTAGATAGATAGATAGATAGATATGAATAGAATTAGATAGATATGAATAGAATTAGATAGATAGATAGATAGATATGAATAGAATTAGATAGATATGAATAGAATTAGATAGATAGATAGATATGAATAGAATTAGATAGATATGAATAGAATTAGATAGATAGATATGAATAGAATTAGATAGATATGAATAGAATTAGATAGATAGATAGATAGATACGAATAGAATTAGATAGATATGAATAGAATTAGATAGATAGATAGATAGTTAGATAGATACGAATAGAATTAGATAGATATGAATAGAATTAGATAGATAGATATGAACAGAATGAGATAGATAGATATGAATAGAATTAGATAGATAGATAGATATGAATAGAATTAGATAGATAGATAGATAGAT